GGAAAGAAAATTGACAAGCTTTCTGATGTTGGAGAACATACTCTTTTGAAGGTATATTAATATTTTTTATATATCTTGTTTTTCAAATCAGTTATTTCATCTTTGATCATCTTTAACGCCAAGCATGTTTTATTTTCTATTTAAAAGTTCAAAAGGGATATTTTTCTCCAATTAAGAAAGATTGTCATGGAACATTTTTTCGTTCGGAAGAGAAGAAAGAAAAATGAAGATCCACCCCAAGAAAAAGAAACTTGACAAGCTTTTTGATGTTGGAGAACATACTCTTTTGAAGGTATATTAATATTTTTTATATATCTTGTTTTTCAAATCAGTTATTTCATCTCTGATCATTTTTAACGCCAAGCATGTTTCATTTTCTATTTAAAGGTTCAAAAGGGATATTTTTCTCCAATTAAGAAAGATTGTCTTGGAACATTTTATCGTTCGGAAGAGAAGAAAGAAAAAGAAGATTTACCCCACCATTTTTTTTAATATTAGATGTTTTTTGAATTCAAAATATTGCCTATTGTTTCCTGTGGGGACTGGGCCCCTTTGTATCCACGGGGCCCTGGGCTGCAGCCCAAAAAGCCCTTAAGTAGATCCGCCCCTTGCCTTGGCCCTCTATGGGCTGTCGCGTCACTGAGTTTAGTTTAAGGTATTGGACTAGATGGTATGTAGCTACTTTATTTACGTCCTACTAGAGCTGCACAATGGGCTATTGACTACTGTCTGGGAAACATCCCTGAGGATGATCCGAAGACATGCCATTGCAATTTTGATCCTCTGAAGAGGGGATGGCTCCTCTGCTTTGGTAGCCCGACTACTTGCGAGTGAAGTGAAGCATTTTACGGTTGAACAATTTAATGAGGACTGATACCGAGCACCCACGGTCCTTACGCAAGCTGATCAAAGTGGTCACTTACCCACTTACTGACAGCAGCCAGAGCTGCTTGACCTCGGTATTCTTCTGGGAGTGTCTTTACGATCAGTCCATGCGGAACAGTGGGCAGGAGAGAAAATATTTTTTTTTCAAAATGTACCTCAAAAGATTAAATATTTTTTTAGTTCTAAACCTTAATAACGTCTGTCATAAATAAAGTCCATATTTTCAACAAGCTGGATCATTTGGTCATTTATTCTCTCTAATATTTAATAGACCCTTTAATAAATCCTTAAAAATATAAGCCACAAATTTACATAAATAAGGACAATTTTTTTCTTGCGCTAAAATTTAACAAATGTACTTAAAATAATTAAAAAGAACGAAAAAATAATGAAGAAACATTTTCAATATAAACAGCAATTAAATAATATCAGCTTACGAAATGTTCTTTTTATTTTTACAAACAGTATTAATATAACGGCCCTCACCTGCTCCAGGGACTGCTGGATTGGGTTCAAAATGACAAGGCTACGGAGTTGAATATTAGTAGTCGTAAACTCGAAATTGGGTCGGTTGTGCAATGACCGTTATAAAATAAACTAATAAATTTGGCCTGGTTAATAGGGCGTTGAACTCGTGTTGGTGAGAGTGGGAGTTTGAATCCAGCCGGCAGAAGAATACCCATGTACAAAATGGTGACTGGTGCATGTTAAAACTGTCAGGGTCACAAAGTCCTCCTAATTCTCATAACAAATAAATACCTCTGGATACAAATCTAGCAGTTCCCTTGTCTTCTGGATTCGGTTCAAAATTACAACACCACGGAGTCGAATATTAGTAGTCGTTAACTCGAAATTGGGTCGGTTGTGCAATGACTGTTATAAAATAAACTAATAAATTTGGCCGGGATAGCCTGGTTGATAGGGCGTAAACTCAACATTGATTTGGTTGTTCAACGGCGGTTATAAAAAAAATAATAATAATAATCAAATTGTATTTTCGTGTTTTCTTTCTAACTCTTTGCATATTTTCTACTTGCATTCAAAATTATAGACTTTGTAACGTAAAGAAAAAACAATTGAGAAAAAAATTCGCGAAAAAATGATTAAAAATTGCAAATAAAATATATTCAAAATGAATCTAAAAAAAAAAAAACTCTGTGTCTGCGTTTCATTTCGTAACTTAAAATACCGGCTGCATAAATGCATATTTGAGGGAACCCCTTTAACCATTAAAATTGAGTGTGGCGATATTTATACAATTATAGCCAAATTAGGAGCAAAACGTGGCAATCCTTCCACTTTATTTATGTCGTGATAATAATTTTCTTACATTTGTTTGCGGCTCACAAGCTGTTAGAATTTATGAATTACTGAAAACTCTTATGAATGGTAAAAATACGCATAAATTTAAACATAAATCAAAATAATTAAACTTCCTGGATCATTAAGCCCGTTCACACATCGCCTCTTAAGCATAACATAAGCGGAGGGATACACAGGAAGTTTTTTAAATTTCTTCTGGTTCTGCCATCTGGGGAGAAGACCGGCTAAACCCTTCTCCCTCCTTCTCTTTTCAGTCGTATAGGAATGTACTATGATAATTTCCGATTTCATAATATTTTTCGGTCCTAAATATCCAAAAAAAATATTTTAAATTTCTACGACGCTTTCTTTTGGAACTATGTTGAGTGTAGATTTCAGTTCCATATAGTTTCTTAACTGAAAATTATTAATCTATTAAAAAATAAAGACCGTTGTGTATCTTTAAACAAATAATTAAATAGATGAGTATGATTCTAACATAACGAACGAACACATTTAATAACAACCTGATGAGATACAGAAACCGAAACTAACATAAAACGGTTAATACAAAGTTGCATATGCCACACTTCCTTCTTCTCTGATGGTGAAAGTGTTGCCATAGATAGAGGGTTCGATCTCTTATATACCGTCAACCACCCATCGTATCGTATCTGCTGTGTCTAGATGATCGCAATGCTCGAATACGCCAGACCTCTTCCATGCCTTTGGCCCTTCATCCTTTCTCTCCTCCTCCATTCAGTTGTATAGGACTTTTCATTTTCTTAATATTTTTCGTATTTAACTATTAAAAATATTTTTAACATTTTCTACGACGCTTTCCTTTAGAACTATATTTAATGTAGTTCTCAGTTCCAATACAGCTTAGTAACCTAAAAGATAACAATATATTTGAAAATGAGGACAGAAACTGACGTACTTCCTGCCTCTATGACTTTCCTCACGCTAATGGAGAAAGCATGTGAAGCGTTGCCATAGGTAGAGAGTTCTGCTCTGCGCCGCCTGTGGCCCATTTCAATAACCAAGCTAGCAAAAAAGCCTCATTAATGAAAACAGAAAGCTATAAGCTTAATCAAAGATCTCATCTCACTATACTACACTCATGAAGTTGTCAATCATCAGAATCAGGAAAAATGTGCTCGAAATTTCTGCATCATGTTTTATAGTAATTCTTGATTTAATGTGTGTGAAATATATTCATTGATTTTAGTTTGTTTGCCTTACGATACTTACACAGTGATTGTCGAAAAGACATTGGTAATGAATGTAGAAAAATAATTCAAAGCATTAGATGACAAAAAGTGTTTTAAAATAGTGTAAAACCTTAATGTCTATAAAATGTTTACCTGATACAGATCTTGTTCATATGGCGCCATTATCTTTATACATAAGGAAATCTTTATTATAAATCTAGAGACGGACATTATCATTGCAATTATTATTTAGAATTTCCTTGTACTCGTGACTAAGCATTTGAAACTTTAGTTTAAAAGTTATTTCGGCAGTTTGTGTTAAAGTGTCTAATATACAAACAGTCTCAGGAAATCTCTTTATAATGTTTATGTGAAAAGTTTGTTACTCATGAGAAATATTTTTTTTGAGCAATTTTTGTCTTGCTTGAGCAGTGTTTAGATTAACATAAAATTTTTTTAGTTAGCCTGCTAAGCAACTAACAATAGTACGAAGTTAAGATAACTAAATTTTTATGAGGCACATTGAATAAAATTTTTGTTCACACTAATTTGAGACTTTCGTATCTCTGCATATGATAAAATATTTGTTGAAAAATCAAATTATCAACCTATAATATGTAACTTCATTTTGCCTTAAGTCTAAATCATTAAACTTTCTTTATATTATTAAATTCTTAAGGTTATTTTCTGTTTCATAGTAAATCATATTGCAGCCGAAAAATATTTATATAACCATAATTACAGCATTAAAATTTATTTTTAATGCTACACTGAATAATCAAGGCAGGTTTGATCATTTACGAAGGATAAAATATCGATTACTTTCAAGCACTTTTAATGATACTCCTATTTTAATTTTTAAGTATTATTAATAATTTTAATATTTCTGTTGCCTTTTCTTTATTCTCTCCATATCAATATTAGATATAAAATCAGTCTCAACTTCTTTTCGTCTTATTCAGAAAATCATATTTTTTTTATAAGATATATATTAATTTTTATTCAAATTTAATTGAATTGTTCTGATAAACTTAGCATTTGAAGCATAAGTATATTACATTTCAGTGACATTTTTGACATTAATTATCTACAACTTTATGTAAAGGCACATATTTTTATACAACATGATCTATGAGACTTGGAAGGAATACTAATATTACTAAGTATACTATGACCTTTGAAGTTGGTGAGAAAACTTATTCTTGTGAAACATGTAATCAGAGTTTTTCATAAAAAAAGTCATCAAACTGACCACAATCGAACTCATGCTGGTTAAAACTCTGACTCTTGTAATAATATGCATTAGGACTTTCTTACAAAAAAAAAATGAGACTGAATACAGTCGCGTCAATGTTAGTGAAAAACTTTTTTCTTGTAGTATATGCAATAAGAGTTTTTCTTATTTAAAAGTGATCTGACTAAGCATATTACTTTTCATGCTCGTGTGAAGCCTCATTCTTGTAGTATATGTAACAAGAGTTTTTCATATATTAATCACATGATGAAACACAGTAGTGTTCACACAGAGGAGAAACCTTTTTCTTGTAGTATATGTGACAAGAGTTTTTCTCAAAAAAGGTATCTAACTGATCACAGTCGTGTTCACAGTGGTGAGAAACCTTATTCTTGTAGCATATGTAATAAGAGTTTTTCAAACAGAAGTAATCTGTTTGAACACAATCGTGTTCACACTGGTGAGAAACCTTATTCTTGTAGTATATGTAATAAGAGTTTTTCATGCAGAAGTAGTCTTACTCAACACAGTTATGTTCATACTGGTGAGAAACCTTTTTCATGTAGTATGTGTAACAAGAGGTTTTTACATCGAAGTCATCTGAATAGACACTTTCTTGTTCATACTGGTGAGAAACCTTATTCATGTAGTATATGTAATACGAGTTTCTCGCATCAAAGTTATCTAAAAAGACACTTTCGTGTTCACACTGGTGAGAAACCATATCTGTGTAGCTTATGTAATAAGAGTTTTTCATACAACAGTAGTCTGACTGAGCACTTTCGTGTTCATACTAGAGAGAAGCGTTATTCTTGTTGTATATGTAGTAAGAATTTTTCACGCAACAGTAATCTGATAAGACACAGCATTGTTCATACTTGTGAAAAACCTGATTCTTGTAGTTAATTCTTAGTCCTGTATTCATCGTTGACAGTTACCTAACACGAAGCACCCAGTAACAGAACCCTGGTTTGGAGGTAATGATTTATTTTTGGACTGGGGGTTTCACAACTCGCTGTTAACTTGCATTCCGGTGGTAGATTTACAGCCTTATTAGCAGTTTGTTAAGTTTCATTGCTATTTTTGAAACAAATTTTCTATATAAGAATAAAATAAAAGATTGCATTGAGTAACTAAATTTGAATCTCTCTTTTACTGGACAAATGAAAAAAATTTTAAGTTTCGTTTTCCTAACTGACTTGTGTTGAAGAGCAAAGGGATCTGAGTATGTATTATTATTATAATCAGGGTTGGGGTTTTGGCCATCCTAAACTGGTTTTGGACAGGACACGTGGGTTTTATTGTCCTAAACTGACTAAAGTGTCCAAAACCTTGAACTTTGGTAAAAGGTAAAGAATCTATAAGTGTAACCATTGTACACATAATAATATCAATAAATATTTGATATTTTTTATGCAATTTACTTTAACTTATTATAATAATATAAATTATATAATATAACAATAGAAAGTTTATAATTTTTGAAGCTCCAAAATTTATTGAACAACAAAAGTGCATACCTTTAAATATAAATATGCTTTTAATACTGATAAATTATGTTTTTGCTTAAGGATAAATAATGCAATATTAAAAATAAAATATTACGAAATAACTGTTATCAAAAATGAAAATATATTAAATATTGCAAAAGTAATAACTCTAAACATATAACTGTGTAAGAAAATGAAACAAATTTGTTTTCAAGCATCAAATATAGAAATGTATAATAATTAAATAAAGGTGAAGGTTGACAACTGAAAATCTGCTCTGATTTAAATACTTTAATGTAATGTAAAATTAAGTTATTGACTTGAGTTATGTAAAATAATTAAAAATGAATTTATTAAATACATAAAATGAAATAAGTATTTAAAGTCAGTAATATTTTCATTGAAATTGGGTTGAAAAGAAAATTTACTTTATAAAGTTTCAAAATAAGGTGTTTTTTATTACATTCTTACTATTTCTTTTTGTATGTTGTATTTTCCTTTCATTAACATTTTATTCAAATTTTATTACATATTAAGCTTATAAAGGTTAAGATTAAACATTGGTAATTGCTCAAAAGTTTTGATTTGAAGAAACTTACAGAATACTGTAAGAAAACATTTAATTTGTGCAAATGATTTTTTTTTTTTTTAATTTTTAATAATGTAATCACTTTTAATGAAATAGAACAGTAAGTATTTTTCGAAAAATCCAATATTTCAAACCAATTATTTATCAGTAGCATCTTTTCTATATATTGTGTATTTTGGATAAATTAAATAAAAATTTTAAAAGAAGAGAGGGACAAAGAGCACTACGCAAATCTGAGACAAACAATATATTAAATTCTCTTTAAAATTCTCACACAACTTTCATACTCCTACATCTATTCTATATTTCATAAATCTTGATTTGACCAAACGTACAGAATATCACAATATATGAAAGGGGCTATACTGCTCTAAACTCAATTATTAGTACTTTCTCATTGAAAAATAATAAAATAGAGTTAAACTTATGTCCAGTGTTAAAATAACATAGAAAAGCAAGCATAATAAAACTGAAAAGCAGCGAATGTCGCATACTTAATAGTCCTGTATTTATTCGGACACATATTTATCTAAAAAAAAAGTAAACCCTTCGACGGACAAAAATATATTAAATTTATTTTAATAAAAAAATCCAAGTTAAATACAACGTCATAAAAATTTTCATTTTACATTTAATGTTTATTCTTTGCCTAATATAAGAATTAATTTCGCAATATTTGTTTTTATTCAGCGCACAATTGAAACTAAGTAATTATAACAAATAAAAAAATTAAAAAGAATTTTTTATACAAATTTTCATTAAAAATGTCATGCCTTATTGCAGAGCAGTCGAATGAAATAAGGATATGAGAGATAAATGTAACAATCATTTTTTCCCAAAATTCTAACCCTACTTTAGTTTTTTTGCATATAAGTAGAAATATCAATCATATTTTACTGTCCCTTAGAAAAACTACATGTCCTCTTTGCCAAGAATTTTGTTAGAACGATTTTATTGAATCGAAAATATTATTGAAATTAAATAAATTGTTAGTAACTTAAGAGATTTAGATCTTAACTTTTCCAGGATTCAACAGCGAATGCTCGGTGAATTTATATATAGTCAGAAATGCATTGATTCTAATAATATCCAAGGGGAGGGGGGAGTGAAATTATTAAAAAAATTTGCTGAACTAGCACAAAATAAGAGTAAATTAGATTTTTTTTTTTTTTTTAGGAATTGTACGTAAAATAAAGCTAATAGTTATAAATTCGTGTCAAAAGACTTACAATAGTAAAATTTTTGGCTGTGAAATTTTTAAACAAGGTATCCAATGGATGATTAGAACATATGCTACCTTCATTTTCAGTTCAATTTAAAATGGAAAACTAACAAAAGTCTCCTTACTTTATTAAGAGTACTATTGAACACTGATGTTAAAATTAAATGCAAGCTTTTTCGTTTTTGTGTTGAATTTCATTTCATTTCACCTCACCTCAGAAGGGGGCTTCGAGAGAATATCGAAATGTGCCTCTGTGTTTTATCATTATAACAAAACGAATAGATTGTGATGAATGCAGGGGTGTAAATATTCAGTCCTAAAATTTGCTATCTACCTACCTTCAAGCTACAACTTAGGAATGTCCCATAGTAAATTTACAGAAGTTACATACCCTACAGATACCATTGTGATATCATTGATTATATTTATAATTTTCTGAATCAATTTTTGTAAAAAAATCTTTCCTTTTTTACGCCAGATTTTCTTGCCTTCTTAACCCTTGTGTTACGGGCAAATTAAATTTTTATTTGAAGTTGATTTATTTTTTCATTATTATTGAGTATTTTATTAGAAAGGGGAAAAATGGCTTAAAAATGTAACATTAGCAGTAAAATTATTTTAATTATGTATGCAAAAAAGAAATCTCTGCATTATGCTAACACTTAACTGGTGACAGAAGCTTGACTAAACAGGTTCTGGGAGTATTTCCTGTGTGAATATATTAATACAAATTTAAACAATTTTTAATTCGTAAAATCAGCGCGTTCTTTTATAACAATTGTCATAAAAAAGAAAAAAACAAATGAGAAAGGAAATTTAGAGGACTAAAGTTTAAACTCTGTAGCTACACGCGCATTTTTGAAGAACGAATAAAAAAGAAATAAAATAAAAAAGTTCAAAAACTAATATACTTTTTGAAACAAAGCACAAAAAAATATAAATTTAATAAGAAGAAAGGGGAAGGAGAAAGACCGATGACCTATCTACAAATTTCATTGCAAAAAAAAACAATACATCATACTTCATTTGCCCTTTTTTATCTTATAGATAATTTATATATAAGAAATATATTTATTATCTTTCACATGATTTCATCATTAGCGTGTGGAGAGTCATAGAAGCAGGAAGTACGCTGCTTTCTGTCTTCATTTTCAAATATATTATAATCTTTTAGGTTAGTAAGCTGTATGGAACTGAAAACTACATTAGACACAGTTCTAAAAGAAAGCGTCTTGGAAGTTTTAAAAATTATCTTTAGCAATTAAATATGAAAAATATTCAAAAAAGAAAAAATATCGTAGTACATTCCTATGCAACGGAAAAGGGGGAAGGGCCAAAGGTATGGAACCGGTCTTTTCCCCAGATGGTGT